GGCGCGGGTTGGGTCCCGCCCGGCCTGGCTGCCCGGTGACGTGTCTATTTGACGGCCGGTTTGGCCAATAAGCACTTGCTCAGTGGGTGGTGCTCCTCGACGATTGGTTGGCAGAATGAGGGCGCTGCGCAAAAACAGAGAAGCCGAGCGCTCGGAGCTCAGAAACTGCCAGCCGAGATCACAAGCTTTGAGGCTGAAGCTGGAGGAATGAAGGACTGAAAGAAAAAGAGACAGGTTAGAAGCAAAGAGCCTTGTGCAGGAAACAGCAAAAAGAAAATTGCTCATTATATTTACAGAGAGGCAAGTGACGGTGGAGAAGAGGACAAAGGGAGAGAAGATATGAAAGCCAAAAAATACAAATAGAGCGAAAGAGGGAAAAAAAATGTCAAGAACATCCAGCCAGAGAAATGAAGAGAATGAAAGTTTTATGCTGCAGAGCCGTTCTGTGTTTTTCCGGCACAAAATTCTCTCGCTGTTTTTAAGCCCTCCTGCATTTGCCAGCCGTTGATATTAAGAGGGATGTTCAGCGGTGCCAGCAGCATCTCTTCTTCCTTCTCCTCTTCCTCTTCATCTTCTTCCTCCTCCTCCTCTTTTTCCTCCTCCTCATTCTCCTCCCATCAGCAAGAAGACAAACCGAGGACAGTCTTGAAATATCGAAATTTCCTCCTTGGGATTTGCCAGCGCCGCGTTGCGCCAAGACTGTCGGAATAAAGGACGCTGACTATTGTATTATCGTTATTTTATTAATTGGTCAGTAGGAAGATTACAGATGAGGAAAGGGGACGTCTGTCACCTTTCCTGCGCTAAGATTGAAAAATTAGACTGGATTGAGGACAGCTTTAAAATGAAGCAAAAAGAATAAGATTTTTAAAAACCGAAAGGCATAGGAGCCCCCCAAGTAACACACTTTTATTTGTATTTTTTTTTTGAGATTTATTTTTTTTTTCCCGTGGTGGTGGGGGAGGTGATTGGGTGGCTTACTAGCTACTGGGAAGCAGCTTCCCTTCCTTTTGGAGATGATTGTGCTATTATTCTTTGCCTTGCTCTGGATGGTGGAAGGAGTCTTTTCCCAGCTTCACTACACCGTACAAGAGGAGCAGGAACATGGCACTTTCGTGGGGAATATCGCTGAAGATCTGGGCTTGGACATTACAAAACTTTCAGCTCGCGGGTTTCAGACGGTGGCCAACTCACGGACCCCTTACTTGGACCTCAACCTGGAGACTGGGGTGCTGTACGTGAACGAGAAGATCGACCGCGAGCAAATCTGCAAGCAGAGCCCCTCCTGCGTCCTGCACCTGGAGGTCTTCCTGGAGAACCCCCTGGAACTGTTCCGGGTGGAGATTGAGGTGCTTGACATAAATGACAATCCTCCCTCTTTCCCGGAGCCAGATCTGACTGTGGAAATCTCTGAAAGCGCCACACCAGGCACCCGCTTCCCTTTGGAGAGCGCATTCGACCCAGACGTGGGAACCAACTCCTTGCGCGACTACGAGATCACCCCCAACAGCTACTTCTCCCTGGACGTGCAGACCCAGGGAGATGGCAACCGATTCGCTGAGCTGGTGCTAGAGAAGCCACTGGACCGGGAGCAGCAAGCGGTGCACCGCTACGTGCTGACCGCGGTGGACGGAGGAGGAGGGGGAGGAGGAGAAGGAGGAGGAGGCGGTGGGGGAGCAGGCCTACCCCCCCAGCAGCAGCGCACCGGCACGGCCCTACTCACCATCCGAGTGCTAGATTCCAACGACAATGTGCCCGCTTTCGACCAACCCGTCTACACTGTGTCCCTACCAGAGAACTCGCCCCCGGGTACGCTAGTGATCCAGCTCAATGCCACAGACCCCGACGAGGGCCAGAACGGTGAAGTCGTGTACTCCTTCAGCAGCCACATTTCACCCCGGGCTCGGGAGCTCTTCGGACTCTCGCCGCGCACCGGCCGGCTAGAGGTGAGCGGAGAACTGGACTACGAAGAGAGCCCTGTGTACCAGGTATATGTGCAAGCCAAGGACCTGGGCCCCAACGCTGTGCCTGCGCACTGCAAGGTGCTCGTGCGAGTGCTGGATGCTAACGACAACGCGCCGGAGATCAGCTTCAGCACCGTGAAGGAGGCGGTGAGCGAGGGCGCGGCGCCAGGCACAGTGGTAGCTCTGTTCAGCGTGACCGACCGCGATTCAGAAGAGAATGGGCAAGTGCAGTGTGAGCTGTTGGGGGACGTGCCCTTCCGCCTCAAGTCTTCCTTCAAAAATTACTATACCATCGTGACCGAGGCCCCCCTGGACCGAGAGGCTGGAGACTCCTATACCCTTACCGTGGTGGCCCGGGACCGGGGCGAGCCGGCGCTCTCTACCAGTAAGTCAATCCAGGTCCAAGTGTCGGATGTGAATGACAACGCGCCGCGCTTCAGCCAGCCGGTCTACGACGTGTATGTGACCGAAAACAACGTGCCAGGCGCCTACATCTATGCGGTGAGCGCCACTGACCGCGATGAGGGGGCCAATGCCCAGCTAGCCTACTCCATCCTCGAGTGCCAGATCCAGGGCATGAGCGTCTTCACCTACGTGTCCATCAACTCTGAGAATGGCTACTTGTATGCTCTGCGGTCTTTCGACTACGAGCAGCTTAAGGACTTCAGCTTTCAGGTGGAAGCCCGGGACGCCGGCAGCCCCCAGGCGCTGGCGGGCAACGCCACCGTCAACATCCTCATAGTGGACCAGAACGACAACGCCCCTGCCATCGTGGCGCCCCTACCGGGGCGCAACGGGACTCCAGCCCGCGAAGTGCTGCCCCGCTCGGCGGAGCCGGGTTACCTGCTCACTCGCGTGGCGGCGGTGGACGCGGACGACGGAGAGAACGCCCGGCTCACCTATAGCATCGTGCGGGGCAATGAAATGAACCTCTTCCGCATGGACTGGCGCACAGGGGAGCTCCGCACAGCGCGCCGGGTTCCAACCAAGCGCGACCCCCAGCGGCCTTATGAGCTGGTGATCGAGGTGCGAGACCACGGGCAGCCGCCCCTGTCCTCCACTGCCACCCTGGTGGTTCAACTCGTGGATAGCGCAGTGGAGCCCCAGGGCGGGGGCGGGGGCGGAAGCGGCGGGTCAGGGGAGCACCAACGCCCCAGCCGCTCCGGCAGCGGAGAAACCTCGCTAGACCTCACCCTCATCCTCATCATTGCGCTGGGTTCAGTGTCCTTCATCTTCCTGCTGGCCATGATCGTGCTGGCCGTACGTTGCCAAAAAGAGAAAAAGCTCAACATCTACACGTGTCTGGCCAGCGACTGCTGCCTGTGCTGCTGCTGCTGCGGTGGCGGGGGTTCGACCTGCTGTGGCCGCCAAGCCCGAGCACGCAAGAAGAAACTCAGCAAGTCGGACATAATGCTGGTGCAGAGCTCCAATGTACCAAGTAACCCTGCCCAGGTGCCCGTGGAGGAGTCTGGGGGCTTTGGCTCCCATCACCACAACCAGAATTACTGCTACCAGGTCTGCCTGACCCCAGAGTCTGCTAAGACCGACCTGATGTTCCTTAAGCCTTGCAGCCCTTCTCGGAGTACGGACACTGAGCACAATCCATGTGGGGCCATCGTCACCGGTTACACCGACCAGCAACCAGACATCATCTCCAATGGAAGCATTTTGTCCAACGAGGTAAGGCTGAAGCGAAAGGACCACCATCTCTCATCTCCTCCATCTGAAAGCCTCCTCTAGCCCGGCCCTTGTATCTCTGGTGCACTATGTATTTATATTTAGGATATTAGCTTATTTGTATCTTTGTGGGAGTCCTGGATGTGGGGTTACCCTCTCCCACCCCTCCGTGTGTAACCCAACTTTCGCGTTGGTCCTAATTCTCTGCGCTCCACCCCTCCACATTTATTTTCATTCCCTCCCCCTGGTGCTTTGCCACCTTAGAAACTCCCTCCCTCTGTCTCTCCCTTGTTTCCTTTAAAATCTTAACCCTCTGTCGTCCCCTTCCCTTCTTGGAAACCTGGGGCTATTAGGGAAACTGCGCGAAGGGAGAGGAAAATGTGGGGGAGGGGCTTGCTAGCCCTGGCAAAGGTCTTTTGCTCTTCGCTTCTGTCCCAGACGTTAATAAAGTTGATTCTATTTTGCTTTGTTTATGCTGCTTTCAGTCGCGTGTACAAGTAAGCTATAAATTGTTTAACTTTACACAGTTGTCTAAACTCGAATGCATGTTTTAGTGAACAAGTTATTAGATCCTTATCCTCTGAACTTGGGTTGGAAAAAAAAAAAAAAAGCCTTCAGTTCTGTTCTGGACAGCATTTACAGACGCTCTTGAAACCGAACGCCCACACAGTGTGAATTTGAATGAAGTTGCTTTGGCACAAACCCCTGTAAGAGTAAAGAAAAGGAAAGCTTCAACGATTGTTGTTTTAAATATTTTTTTGGCTAATAATCACCTTCTTGCCACTGTTTTTGGTAAATCACTACTGTTGGCTTTCTTCATCAAAGAATTTGGCTTGTCAATTTCGATTTATTTTTAAAAGATGGAGAAGTGGCAAAGTTCGATGGGGGGTACTGGGGAGAATGGAGTTGGTTCATGTAAAAGTTTGGACCGGAAAAGGTGTGTGGGTGGTGGAGCCTGAGAGAAGAATACAGAAAGCCTTTGGAGAGGGAGATGATTGAGGGGGGTGGGCAGGATTTTGAACTCCTTGATAGCTCCTTATTTTATTTATTTGAGTCTTAGGTATTACTCATATTACTCATTGACTTTCATGAATATATTTGTACAGCTCATTTGTATCTAAAGCACATTTTGAAAATAAACAACAAAATAATTCCATAAAATATCCAAACTTTTTGCTTATTGAGCGTGCTGTTTTTCTTGTGTCAACCAGTATGCATCTAAACACGTTTTAGGCCACTGAAGTCTGCAGAGTATAACTAGATTAACTCTGTTAGTGATAATAGTTCATGAGCCCCAGCTTTGAAGACAATTGCATTCTCTCTTACAAAAAAAGAAAAAAAGAAAAGAAAAGAAAAGAAAAAGAAAAAAAGAGAAAAGAATAAGAAAAGGAAAAAGAAAACACATCTAAAGTTGGCCAGTGTTTTTTAAACCTTTACAGCTGACTGAAAGAAATTTGAACCCAAACGACTCTGTATCTTCCCTGCCCTTACCCAGCAATCACTAGACTGAGGTCTCAGAAAAGGTTGGAAATTCATAAAAGTATACACAATTACTTAAACTAGATGTTATTCCTAACCTCAAATGCAGACTATAAGTTAAACCCTTAGCATTCAAATGCTCTTGATTTATTTATTTTTTTTCCTAGACTAAACACCAGCGAGCAGAGCTCAGCTATCTAGTTGACAGACCTCGCCGAGTTAACAGGTATGGACCTTTTCTTCCCCTAGCATGGTGTTTGGACAATTTGCTACCTAGAAAAATGTAGAAAGTAGGTATATTATTTGATATTAAAATATAAAGTATATAAAGTATTTTAAATTCAGGCAGGGCAAAAATGCTGGTGATATTATGTTTCCTATATAACACATTATTATAAGGGCATATTTCATTTATATACAATTCACAAAATGTTTTTGTCGGTGTAAATTGCTTACATGGCTTGTGATCGTTTTTATAACTTTTAGATGTATATTTACATCTGTTTTATGAATGAGATGTAAATATATATTTTACTCCAATCATATAATAATGGCTAAACTTTATGTGTCTTAAGTACTGAAGTTGACCATGATCAATTTTCAAAGAGGTAGGCTTATATTATGAAAACTAACTTTATGCAGAAATAAAGCCAACCAAGAGGTCTGTGAGTCTGCAGCACACATCTGTGACCATGTGGTGGCAGAAGAATGTTTTCTGTGTTTCTTCACCTTTTTTATTCTAATACTGGCATTTTTGTACTTCTAGTTCTGCATTCCAAGAAGCTGACATAGTAAGCTCTAAGGACAGTGGTCATGGAGACAGTGAACAGGGAGATAGTGATCATGATGCCACCAACCGCGGCCAGTCAGCTGGTAAGTGTGATCAAAGGGCTATCTAAGTGCTGACTTTGACTTTTTTTTTTTTCTCCCCAAATTAATCTAGAAAAGATGGTGTCCTAGGTAACTTTCTGTCAGTTTAATTCTGGCAACTCAACAGAAAGATGATGTCATCTTATGTTGTGTTGTAGGTTCAAAGAGGTTTATAAAAATGTGAAATTCCTTTGGAGAGGTGAAATTAGGAAATCATTGTTGAGTATCTTTCATATGTAATGTTCTTTAGTGGAATTATATTGCATAGAGAAAACCATAGATCTCTCATCTGGTCCAGTCCTCAGTCTTCAGTTAATTAAGGTATTATTAGACTTATTTATGGGTGAGGTCTCAGAAGATGAATGAAATTGATTGAGCTGTACAAAGTCACAGAAGATAAATGGATGATTGGGGTCTAGAATCCAAATTCCTTCTTTCCATAGTAATGTACTTTGTGCTCCACCAAGTATGGACTGAAGGAAGGAAAGCAGACTGTGAGTCATGGTGGGTTGAAAGTAGGGTTTCCAATCTTGAGTCGTTAAGCTTCAGGACACAAGTAAACATGTGTAATGTATGTTGTCCGAAGCATTTTGGGTTTCCTTGTATTTTCTACAGGTTTTGTGTTCTGTTAAGAGTTGGCTCTGAGTGTCTTTGTATGTGGGCTTCCTGATAGTTACTGATGAGAATTGCAGTGTAATATTTTTGTCTGCTGTATTCTGCTTTAATTTCCTCTACATAAGTTCCACCTTTAAGTTTTATAGTTACCTGTTAGTTCTAATTACTAATCCAAAAATAAATGAAGTGTGCTTTTTAAGATGAAAATTTCATAAACTTCTGGTTTTCTGTTTACTTCATTGGATTTCACCTAGGCAGGGTGCTTGTTGAATTTTTAACTATTTTCTTCTAATTCAGTGTTTATTTGACACACAAGGGAAAGGAAAGGCTAGTTGATTTTTGTGATAATATTTCTAGAAAATATTCATCATTGGACTGTCTCTGGATTCCTCTCAGCTCTCTTGAGATTTGATCTTGATTTTGGTTAGTAATACTAGCCTGGAGTGATGAGATCTTTATTTTAAGGTGACATTACTCCTCGAGAGCATCCATTCCTTAACACACTTGGGCGACCTCTGAACGGTGCTGAGGCAGTGTGTCAAAGGGCAGTGTACACCCCATGGTGGACTGGCAGCAGTGGTTGCTACAAGCCTCTCACTTGGCCAATGTGTGCTGTGTCTGAGGCTGCCTTAGCCTTGGGAAATCCAGGCAGGATGAAGGGGGAAAAGGCTGCTCAAGGGTCTCTTTATATTGCTGCAAGTCATTAATATGCAGACCTAATGAGACTTGAGAACTGCCAAGAATCCCCGGAGGTCCCTGCCCCTTGCGGGCCTTCACGCTAAGTGAACAGAGCATCTATTTAGTGTCTGGGAACCTGACAACAAACCAGATCTTGCCAGAAGTTTATAGGCAAGTACAAAGTCCCTTTCATTTTTGCCCTATATATTGTATATGATTGATTGTTTTCTTTAAAAAAAAAAAAGATACATGCAGAATTGTCCATTTCTAGTCTTTCTTGGGAGTTTCCAACTTAACTACCAGCCCTTTAAAACAAAGTGTCTGATATAAAAAAGGAATATTTGCTACATGTTTTTAAATGCATTTTTCTCCTTTCCCACCCACCCCATTTTGTTTTTCCTGTAGCACTCCAATCTCAATGAACATTTCAATTAGTTTAGTCCCTTAGACATAATGAGCCATAATAACCTAACCGAAGAGCGAGAAACCAATAAACATCTGCAGAAAGGGCTAAATTTGGAAGATAGATGGGAATATATTCTTATTGATGTCTTCCCACTAGCTATTTTATTACAAAGACACTCAGTATTTCCATTTTGGTAATGTTTCTTTCAAATTCTTTGAGATGTCAAAGCATTTAAAGCAATATTAAAATATAAAATGTTTACTGGAAAACATTCGAAAAAGCCAGTTTTTCTTTTTCTTTATCGAAATGGTAAATTTTCTCTGATCCCTAAGCTCTTGGACATGTAAAAGTATTAATTACAGAATTACCAATCCATTTGTGTACTTCATTGGTAGTTACAGGGCAACCATAACCTACTGGGCACACTAAAAGCTGTTTTAGGTGTAATAAAGCACTTATAGTAAGTAATTGCACTTTTGTGTGTTCAATTATGATCAAATTTAATGTTTAATTTTATTGTAAGGATGATTTTAAGTGTTTTATTTTTTTAAGTCCTAAATATAGAAAATTAAATGCATTTAATTAATGACTTTTTTCAGTCCATACTGATGTTGTATATTGTAAATTGCACTGTCAGTAGCTAGAATATTTTTAAAAAGTTAAGCCCACTTGAAATAAATCTGTTTTATTTGTTGGTAAAGCCAGATAATAATGATCTTCCAAGTTTGCAAAATGAGGTAATATAATTCATAACCCTTTTATTTCCAGGTTAAGCATATGAAAATATCATACCAATAAGCAAATCCCACTTAAGTACATTTTAAATGGGGAAGATTAAATTATCATATGAAAATATCTTACCAATAAGCAAATACCACTTAAGTACATTTTAAATGGGGAAGATTAAATTATCAAGGAAAAATAATATTAGAAAGATAAAAATTCTGAATTCTTCCTTGCAGTTTGTAGCTCATCTCATACTACAGAATCCACACTATTTAGCTTAGCGCTTTACCTGTTCAAACTTCCTTTTTCTTTATTTTCTTACTTTTATTTTCCTGTGTCAGTGTTACTTCGCATTTATTTATTTGGATATGCCTTCTGTTTACTCTTTTATGAATAGTTTTCTTTTCTGTTCTTTCTCTTTTTCGCTTTCTTGCTTTTCTCCTTTCTAAGCCATTTGCAGTCACCAGTCTTGTGCACAGAAGGGCTTTAAGCACGAAGGCAGCTGCACAGAGAACCACATAAGCTTTTCAGTTTCCCACTGCACCTGGCTCCATGTGTGAAATTCCTCGGCTTGACCACTGCTCTGTGCCACTTTTCTTTCTATAGCCTGGTCAAGGTGCTTTCCATTTATTTTTCAGCAGCACACTATTGATGTATTGGTTAGGTATGGCAGAAGTCCAAGAAGATGTGGTAAATGCAGGCATAAACCATCACAAGAGGAAAAACTGATTAATCACAGCTTGAAGAACTAAAAAGTTGGACTTTAAAGATATAAAAATTTTCAATCTTATTATTAAATCATTAGATTAAAAGATGATTTTTCTATTTTTAGCATATAACAGTTTTAGTTGTATATTAAACATTTTAAATATAACTAGAGAAAGTTTTATGCCAATTATTAAATGCCTATATTATAAATAACATTAGAATTAATTATGAATTTGTTCTTTTAAAAAAGCATGTTGAAGAGGAGAACTGAAGAGTGATTGAGTTACTTGTTACACTTTGCCTAAAAATTATTAAGTTTCTCTTGTAAATTTTTCTTCATTTGTAAAGAAATTTATCTACTAAATGTGTTTAGTTCTTATGCAGCTATTATGAGATCCATATACTATGTAGGGTCAATATTTGGCTATAAATTTAAAATGTAAAGTGACTTGGATTGTCAGAACTTTCAAATTAATATATTAAGACACACATCACTACAATATCAGCAGGAGAATTCTTGGATTATCATGAAGGACAAACATCACTTTCCTAACTCCAACAAGAATTTAGATATTGGCAAATGAGCTTTTAGCTTTATAAATAAAATGATTTTACACTGTTTGTTTCCAAAACTTATTTAGGTTTCTGTTGAACCTCTGAACTACAACTTTTAATGTGAAGAGAGTTTTAATTGGGAAAAGACAAAATTTTGAGAGAAAGTAGAGAAAACTGTTTTGAAAGATAAGTGGGGACAAAATTTTGATATGCCTTTATTTTTTCATGAGTTAATTATGTTTATAAATATCTATTTCAAAAAATACTTTGCTTAAAATTATAGGAATGCTTGTAATTATTATTAGTATTTCTTAGTTTCCAATTATTAGGTAGTTAAGGGAAGAATGGAAACTTCCTCAAAAAATGAGAGTTGGTTTCTTTAAAACTCATTTTCCATACTTAATGAAGGCATGTTACATGATAAAGAAATATGCATGTACTTTTTTATTGTTATCTTAGAAGCCAGCACCATTTGAATACAACTGTAATATTTTTGAAATCACAATTTGTTCTCAATGGAACTATCCACTTCCTCTGACTTAAGGGACAAATTTAAAAATATGTCCTTTAAAATTTATCTAAATATATCTTTGCATAACAGGCAGTCTATCACGTCAGCTGTCATGCTTTGCAGAACAGATTAGTTCTGAGAAATGGAAAAATAAATAAGTGGAAAAAAGGATTGCAAGTAAAAAATAAAGTATATGTTTAGACATTTCTTGAATATTAGCAAAGTTTCAAAAATGAGTTGGGCCTGTACTTTTACTATTCTACAAATCCTATAGGCTCAAAGGTATGGTCATTTGAATGAAAAAATAAATCATGTTAAACATTAAGTTTTAAGTTTTCAATTTGAGCTATTAAAGATTGTAAGAGCAAAGCAAAAAGTATGTGTTTTAACAAGTCATAGATACTGTAATATCTGACATACCAGTGCACTAAAATTTAAATATATCCCTACTTACTTGGCATTTGTGGTAATATATTTAATGAGACTAATGATAAATGATAGGAGAATAATATTAGTCATATAATAGCTCCCTACAGTGAGGACCCCTGCAATGTGATACATTTATTTGGCTCTCAAACTATATATCTAAAAGAAAAATCATCCAATTTCAATTAATTTCTCTGTTACTTATTTGAACTTTATTGACTATGTTATGTTTACTTTCATTTCTGTGTCTGGTATTTCCTTATGAGAATAGATCCATTTGTTTTATCAATAAAGCTAGTAAAACACCAGGCACAATGTAAACTACTTCGTCTTTCATTCTAGCTATGTAAACCTGTATGTATTATTACTAAGGAAATTCCACTAAAAAGATTAATTCATAAATTTATTAAAAACCTTATATTCAGGTTTCTTCCTTTTGTCAATGACTTGTGTTTCAGCAAAATATTTTTATATATTCCTCCCTTTTTTATTATGCCCATGATCTATTTTTTTTGTACAGATTCTCAATTGATAAGAACCTTATTACATCATCTAAGGAAATTTAACCAATCTGTAATAGTTAACACGGACAGAAAACTAGGGTTGCAAGAGGGAAAAAAAATGAGCATAATTGCGTGTAAACTGCCCGCAATATAATTTCATCCAAGAAGTACTTTTTGACATCATAAAGTAATATCTTCATGTGGACATAATAGTTTATTAAAATTTTCTGTGCGAGACTGAAGTATTCACAATTAGAAGAGTACTTGAGCATGGGTACAGAAAAAGATGTGAAAAGATCTTATGTGGTCTTATTTGGAAATTTTAAAATGATATATATACGAATCACTGAAGAAAAATTGTATTAATTGAAAATTTTGCATTAAGGTCCAACTTGACCAGATCTAATAAAACAATTTCATTTTAAATTTGAATATAATTCCATCAGCTATTGAAATTTAATATCTTAAATTTATTTTGAAAATCACTAAGTAATTGCTCAGAGTAATTTTACTCTTATGGTAGTTTATTCTGTATGGGAAAAAAAAAGCCCTTTTTCTGTATCACACAATTAAAGAGGCAGCATTTACAGCCATATGTCAAAATAAAAATCTCTCTGGGTCTCTACCTATGTACTATGAATTCATGTACCAGAAACATTCTTCTTCTCTTTTTCCTTTCTAGATATCTTCTTGTAGAAATAGGATAAATAACTGTGCTTCTTTCAAGTGTCTAGTGAAACATTTACATGTCTTACATGCTGTTCTCAGTCAGATTCCTTAATACCAGCTTCAGCTCACGTTTCTATTCCTCAACAGTTCGCTGATCAGTAATTTATTTCCAGACTTATGCATGACAATTATCAATGGAACATTATAATCAAAGTCAGACTAGGCATTATGCACAGTTTAATTTAAAACAAAGAAGTCATTAGATAGTGAGATTAATATATGATAAAAGACTTGGTGTTATTTCTTTAAAATTTATATAATTAACTGTTCTCAACTCTAAAGTATTTATAGATAACCTAGAATGTTTAGAATTTTGAAAAATAATTTTTTATTCATAAAAACCTTAATGCATACTAATAAACATATATAAATCAATATATAACTTAATACTGCTATGCATTTAAAAACTAATACTTGCTTAAGGGTTCAAATCATTTGTTGTATTTATAGAAGTAATAATCAAGTATGTTCATTAGGTAAATATTATTCTGTTGGTTTAAAAAAAATCCCAGTTTTTCCTTACTTGACATTTATTGAAGAGTTTCTTTTGTAGAGATAAATCATACTTTAGTTGTTTCAAATTAATCTTGTTTTAAAACATATTTAGTAAATATGTTACTATGATTAGAAAAATATTAAAACAGTATTTTTGTTCATGTGCTTTTCTTTGTAGTGTTATATATCAAAATGAATATCAAATAGTTTTCTGTAGTACTCAAAAATTCTTATGCCTTGTTTAAGAAACTGGATGAGCTTTCTTGATCATAATCAGTTAATTAATAGTCTTGTCAATCTAAGGAAGACAATGAAGTCTGAAGTTGTCTTTAGAAATCGTGGTATTATAGAATTAGTAAGTAGTTTTGTGTGGACTGGGACAAGTATTTACAACCAAGGACAAGTAATAAGGTAATTGTCAATAGTATCCACAGCTGGTTCACTCTGCATTTGGTTACCTTGGTTTCACTAATTACAGCCATTTGTTCTGGGTTTGTCTAAGGCGGTAAATAATAAGTGATTTGTAGTAATATGGATTACCAGAGTGCCAATGAGAAATACCTTTAGAAAGTCATTTCCTAGGAATCTGAGAAAATGTGCTTTTAGCTACCCATGAAGTCTTGTTTCTACTTGATATTTCCTGGTTTATCAATGTGTATGCCATGTTTCTGTTGAATTTCCCCGTTTCTGGTCTAAATACTATAACCTAAATATCATTGATAGAGCTTAGCATGTTTCTTCCATTTTTGTTTAAAAAAAATAGCAGCTGATTCATCATGTTAGGGGTTAGGGATTATGAAGCCTTTATACCTGCATTTTTTCTCTGTTATGAACTTCACAAGAGATTTTTTTTTTAAATATGCATTCCTTTTCTACTTACCATTTCCTAGTTCTTTGAATAATTTAGAGCAAACATGTCCATCCCCCCAGTCCCAATTTTTCGAGTAGTTTAAAAACATCTTTTTCAGAGGGCTCTTTTCCACAAGTCTTACCCTTATATTTGCAGATCTCTTCTCTTTGAAAAATGATGAAAAAAACTGATAACAAGGAGATCTTTGGTTCCTTTCAATTTAAGCATTTACTAAGATACCCTCACCCATGACTTTTGATGCTACCTGTTATCTTTACCACTAAATAGCTAACTGGTCCTGTTATTGAAGGATACACCTGTAGTTTCTTTCTCCTTGTTCTTTTCTTTCTTTCTTCTTTTTCTTCTTCTTCTTTTTTTTCCCTTTTCTTTCCTTTTTCTTTTGCTTACAGGTATGGATCTCTTCTCCAACTGCACCGAAGAATGTAAAGCCCTGGGCCACTCAGATCGGTGCTGGATGCCTTCTTTTGTCCCTTCTGATGGACGCCAGGCTGCCGATTACCGCAGCAATCTGCACGTTCCCGGCATGGACTCTGTTCCAGACACCGAGGTGTTTGAGACTCCAGAAGCCCAGCCTGCAGCAGAGCGGTCCTTCTCCACCTTTGGCAAAGAGAAGGCCCTACACAGCACCCTGGAGAGGAAGGAGCTGGATGGACTGCTGTCTAACACACGAGCGCCTTATAAACCACCGTATTTGAGTAAGTATCACACAAAAGGGGGTAAAAAGTATTACCTTGGGGGAAATACAGTCCACCATTGCTCTTGGTAAAAACGGGGGATTCAGGTTCCGTTTAGAACTGAACGTAAGAGCTGCACACAGGCAGCATGGAAAAATCAACATAACTGGAAGACAGGTCCTTGTGTCCGGGCGTCATTGTGGACCAACAGTAAAGCACAACTTTTGCGTTTGATGAAATCAGTTTTCAAATGTTCCTCACGTTTCTGTAGGATGTGGCAGTCTTGCTTGTTTGATTGCTGTGTATTGAAGGGTTAAATCATGGTGGAAAAAACTTCTCTCTTGATCTTTATCTCATTTTTCTTACTGATGTTAGGATTTTCACCCAATCATCCTTTTGTGGTAGTAAGGTATCTAGAGAGCGGTTCAGGTGTCATTTCATTTAAAATGATTTGATAGGATCTTGGTGTGGATTCAAGTTTGATCAGAACCAGAGGCACTCTGTGATGGAAGAATGTCAGGACAGCAATATCCCTGAAGGGTTTAGAACAGTGGGTTCTTCTAACATTCAGACACTGCTAATTACACTCGGCTCATTCAATATCGGGGCCCTATTCTCTAAGTGGATTATTTTATACAACCATTATGAACAATAAAAAGGTTTTGAGATTCTGTATTATGTTTCCTTTCAGAATCTTGGGAATGAAATTTTCCCATCATTCTCTGCTACATAGAAATAGTTTGTGGATAACTACTACTGATTATTCAAACTGTATAAACAATAATTAATAAAAGTGAAAACCAATCAAAAGATGACTTTCATCTTGTATTAGAAATCCTTCCTACATATTTTCTTTCATCTTCTAGTATATATATAATCAATCATGGAGCCTTGAGCTAGCTGCCAAAGATGACACAAATTGTAGATGTATTGTGTCTTTTATGACTGAGGAAATATGAAATGGGAAGAAAAACTTTTTTTGTTGGTTTTTGTGTTTAGAAACTTAAAGGAAAAGAAAAGCCGGATAGAGTTGAGTCCTGACAAATGTACGAGGGGAAAGGCAGACATTGAATACAGGAGGCTCTGGTTCAGTCTGGTAATGAGAATAGACAGTTGCTATAGGATTAAACCCGTGGGTCTTTCATCAGATGCATGGATTGTGATGGCAGTGGTAGCCATATGCACTGCGTGCAAGACTGAGTTCAGCTTTTAAAATTATTTAGAAGTACTGCTACTCCAGCATGATGTAGTACTTTAGCACTTCTGAACCAAAACATTGGGTCATCCTATAAATCTTTGATATTTGTTTGGCTTTATTTTTTAAAGTTATATTATATAACTTTAACATTTATATTGTATTAGGAGAGCACAAATACATAAGTATTGAGAAGTCTAAGATGCAATTTGAAATTTACACATTCATACATATTAGGGTGAATTAAAATAGCCCCAAATCAAATTTTAATAGGTGAAGACTCTGGGGTAGTCCTTGTCTCTCAAATTGAATTCTGGACTTAAAATTTTGTTATTGAAAATAGAACTTTTCCAAATTTTTACCAGCATATTTCAGTATCCTTTCACTTCAGAATACATGGTATAAAAACAAGTAATCAGTCATCTTAAGGCAAAAAGAGAAAGGGCACAGGATTCACAGGAATCAAAATTTGTATTTTTTAAAAAAACAAGCATTTGCTTTCAGTATACATTATCTGGCAAATCTATTTTAAATGTAGTAGAAAATGAGCCTGCCACTTTTTGGTGTTAGTGAGTACCAATCTTCATAAATTCCACTTATATGTACAACCAGAATTTTAAATATCTGCAAATGTCTTACTCCACTGATTAGTTTTTCTTTTTATAATAATCACAGCAACTCTAATAATACAGTAATAATTCTGCATATATTTTAATGCATATTTCTCTACATCTTAAGAAACTAGTATTTTCATTTAGAAAACTTATTTTAGGGATTAAGAAATTTCTTAGCCTATATGTGTTTCTAGAAATCATGAACTTATTATTTTAAATTTATTATTTTGAATGAATTTTGTATTTTGCCAGGTAAATTTATATTTGTTTGCATATTGTGCAGACGTATATGTCAGAATAAGTTAGTGTTTTAATATATATTTAAGTGTATATATACATATGTTTGTGTGTGTATGTGTGTGTGTGTGTGTGTGTGTGTGTATATATATATATTTTATTATTATTATTATTTTTAAGCCAGTTTAGCCAGCTTATACTGCTCAAACTTAAGGGTTTGGGTTAAACTATGACCTGAATGGAAAATTAGCAGAAAAATGTTTGCATGAAATTATTCGTAGTTTTTCATACAATATTAATCATGTAAATATTTTTTTGTTATACCATTACCTTGGACTCAAAGGTAATAGTATATGTAAAATTACATCTTAACTCCAACTTAATAGGCATAGTCAATTTTAATCAAATTAGGTAATCTAATATTAAAACTATATACCATGCTCTTCCTGACCATTTTGCACCCCTGATTCATGTGGTGATAACTTTTAATACTTGTGTCATCTATCATCAGGAGTGAAATATTCTCATATTCTAAATTAAAAAGCACGTCCCTTATGTAATTAAAGAAGCTAAAAATTGACACTAATTACTTGCTTTTAATCAGAATGTTTAATTATTGAGGTTGCTGTTTTTCTTTTGCTAAACATGTATTTCGTTTTATAATGATCATAATATACATTTTGATGTTTAGAAAGTAGGTGTGTATGTGATTATTTTTGTAAAGCTCTAAAGTGCCTAATAAGACTGCCACCGTCATTTATATGAAGATGACAAGGAAACGGTGATATGGCTAAAAATATAACTGAGATCATTGTCTATACCAGTAACTTTTAATTTCTATACATCTGTTAAAGTTCAAAACTATAACAAACCAAATCTTAGACAAAATTAGGTATATTCACACTTTAAAAAGTGTACTTTACATTTAACCAAATGCCTAAATACAGTCATGTTTTCTTTTCCATGAAGAGTAGCAAGTCTCACTTCATCAAATGAAACATTTTAAACATATCAGCCAATAATTTCTGAGTTAATCATGAGCTTCCTCTTTTTATTTTTATTGGAAAAGGAGACATAGAAAGTTTGAGGAAATAAATTAAAATATGTAAAATACAGCCATATATTCTAAAAATTGTTAGTTAAACTGACCTGAAAAACGTTAGTTCTCTGGAGTTTTAAAATTCTATTGTATTTTCAAGGATTTGTTTAGAACTACAAATATCTTATTTAAAATAATTTAGTCTTTCAAATGACAACAGTGCATTATACATAAGCCATTTGGATAATCTCAGCCAATAATAGAAAAATAGGTTAAGTTGAAGAATGTGATTGATAAAACCCAATGCAGTTTATATAATTTTGAAAAATCCCAATAATTAAAGTAATAGTCAAAAATAATTTTCCTTGATTTTGGCCTTACATTTTGTAGGTCACATCTTAAGAATATTGTCAGTGAATGAGTATGTTCAGTTCCAATTGGCTTAAACAATACAGTAATAAATGGATAACGATGTGTTGCTTGGAAATTTGTTGACTTCTTGCCAATAAATTAATCAATCATTTGATGTTTGAGTTAATCATGAGATCATCAATGAAATTATATCTAAATTATGTTTGTGAAAAGTTTTTCTTTATTTATACTGTCATACCATAATCATATTGAGTAAAGTGAACAATTACATTGACAGCTCATCTTTGAAATTTCTAAATCTGTGGAACTTTCTAGAATTGTAGGATTACAAGGAACCATTTAGTGAAAAGTATCATAGCCCATCCTACCTTCATAATATGTAGGGTTCAGACTGATTCACGTGCACCACAACATATCGGCTATTGATCTAACTTTACTTTTGCCAACTTGTGATCTAGTTTGAAATGCCCCAATCCTGAAAAAAGAAGTCAAATTTTTGAAACATTGTTTTTAAAATATTGCTGACAATATTACTCTTCCGAAAACTTCATTTTGGGAAAACTCTTGCAGGCATCTATATCTGATGCCCATGAGCAGTTCAAGTGCTTGGCGGATGGGATTCATAGAACATTCCATGTGGCGTGACTTTTCCTCCAATCTCCTCATCATCTGGTTTCTGCTGTTAGTTTTCATAATGTGCTGAACTCAGTAGGGTGCTAAGAGCAGATCTAGAATTCACAGTGAAGCGGCTTTTCTTCCGGATAGTGACTTCATATTTATCTACCCCGAGTAGTGCTGTCTTTGGGTAGGTCTGTTCTTCCAATATCCTAATACAGCATGACCATCCTGTGTGGAAGTCCACCAAGAAGTACTTTTATTTTAGCCCTTTTTAGAATTTTTTTTTCTATTAGGTTAATTTCTGTCCACTTTCCCTCAAGTTTTGACACTTATTTGTCATCTGATATTTCGGGGGGGGGGTGTTTTCCCACTTTTCTTCATATGCATCTAGATTTGTGACCCTAACTATTAACATTTTCAGCTTATTTCCTTTGACAGATCTCTGGTCTTAGACTCACACGAGTCCTTCTACTCATCTACTGACTTCCTTTGTTCAGGGTTATGAGGAAGTCTGTCATAATCAAGATAGTTTAATTACCTCAATCCTGTGAGAATGAGGCAAATGATAAATAACGACCAGTGAAAAAAGCCAACCTTATTTCCAGTCTATTTGTTACTGTGAGAATTTAATGTTCTCTGAATTATATTTTATTTTACTTCTTTGAAAAATTATAATCTATTTACAGTTCATGTCGTTATTCCAGTTAACCAATACCAGTAGCTTCCCCCCCCATCTAGATAAGTGAGATATTATAATATTATTTTTTTTCTTTAGTTGTTGGGTAATGATCTATATCAACTAACATGATACATAGAGAGAGCTATAAAAATCCTTCTGAGATGCAGGTAGGAAATGGCGCTTTTCCTTTCACATCTGTCCATTTCTGTGGGCAATTTGCTTTTTACTTGTTAAGACATTGTTCCTGTGACTTATCTCATGTCACTT